TCATCGTGGGACTTTATTGGTTTTCTTCAAAAGTGCCCCTCGAAATCTTGCAGTTGAGAGTGATATAATTATAGGAGTTCTTGATTCTGGAATTTGGCCAGAATAAGAGAGTTTTGACGATCATGGTTTTGGTCCTATTCCAAACAAATGGAAAAGAGCATGTAACGGCGGAGATGATTTCATGTGTAACAAGTAAGTTTTCTTCTTTTTGTTAGTTAATTTACTACGTTTGAGTTTGGACGTATTGAAAGAGGACATTTACGACTATGGTACAAAGATTCGGCCGAGTCGGAGCCATCACCGTCTCGGACCCTCTCGATACGATATCGGAACAATACGATTTTGAGATATTTGACTCGTCGAGATATTACCATGAAAAGTTGAAACGGCCGAATCACACTGAATTACTCCGAATCATCCTGAATCAATTCGAATTTTTATTATTTTTACTAATTTTTTAATTATTTTTGTTTATCATATTTTTTTTTATAATTTTTAGAATATTAAATAGTTCAAAAATTCTCGTCTTACCGAAACTGCGACCGATATGCTAAGACCGATGTGGAATAGTCCGAGCCGTGACCGCAATTGTGACCGCTCTTTTGAACCATGTTTACGACTGGCAGTCATTGCAACGTATACATGTCTATAGCAAAATCATTGGAGCTCGTTACTATGTATCAGATTCGCCAAGAGATTTAGAAGGTCAGAAGGTCACGGAACGCATATTTCCTCAACAGCTGCAGGAAACAATGTCATGGATGTGAGTTACTGTGGAATTGTAGAAGGTACTGTACGAGGAGAGGCGCCTGCAGCAAGGACTGCTGTATACAAAGCTTATGTTTTTACATATTGAGATGATGCTGATATATTGGCTGGATTCGACGATGCTATAGCTGATGGAGTTGACATTATTACAATTTCAATTGGTTTCAATTATCCAGTTGACTTGATAGATGATTCTATAGCAGTTGGACCTTTCCATGTAGCACAGAAGGGAATACTTACTGTAAATTCGGCAGGAAATAATGGCCTTGTACCAGGACAGATTACGAGTACACAGCACCATGGTTGTTTACCATCGAAAGAGGGGCAGCAACTATTCCTGACAGTTCACGGCCAAGATTTGGTCACAAAAAATTGTACAGTTCAAATCTTATTTTATACCTCGTTTTTAACAATATGTGTAGAATTCACAAAATTTTATTCTAGAATTACACGTTGTTGAAAGTAAGTTACATCATGTGCAAACAAAATTACGCCATCTTGTGCAAAATGCACACATAACCTTCAGGAACGGTTGCTGGTCCGTTCACCATCGCAGCAACTACTACAAATCGCAAGATCATCAGTGAAGTTGTCCTCGGTAATGGAGTAAAATTAGCAGTATGTATTGAACTTCTTCCCTTACCATGGCTAATTCCTTCGATTATTGCTCAAAAAAATAAAAAATCGGACACTTGCGGTTCTGACAGGGGTTCTGTATATATCTATGGGTGCCGGGCTGTGTCAGCCCAGCACCTGACACCAAAAAAAATTTTTTTTTTTATGAAAGACACACAGCCCGACACCTGACAAAGTCTGCAAAAGCTGGCTGCTGGGCACTCTCTGCTCGGTAGCCAGTCAAATTGTAAAAAAAAAAATTCGAAGGGCTTCAATGCAATTCAGACAAAGTAGCTCACCTGACAAAGATTGCAAAAACTGGCTGCCGGGCACTCTCTACCCGGCAGCCAGTCAAATTGTTAAAAAAAAATTTCGGCATCGGTTAAATGCAATTCAGACAAAGTAGCTCCCGTGAATTTTTTACACTTTTTTGCTTCAGATTTGCCCCTTTTGGCAGGCTTGTGGACAAAACAAAAATTGTCTGGCAGCTCCCGTGAATCAAAAAAGCTGAACCAAAAGAAAAATTTACGTACGATTGGACAAAAGAACTATGCTCCATTAGACTTTAGCAGGTCGTGAAACAATAATTGTGTGCTACCGGTAGTATAAATTTTTTTTTTTTTTAAAGAAACTTTGTAATCTAGCCGTCCAAACGGACGGCTAGATTTTACCTTATGCTCTATATAAGCACCGAGGAACTTCCTCATCGTCCGCACCTCTCACTTTCTCCCATACGGAATTTACATTTCTCACTTTTCTCTCAGCCCTCAGTCGGAGTTTACATTTCTCAGTGTCTCACACTTTCACACGAGCACCTCACTTTACATTTTGCAGAGTTGGGCGTATTACTATCTTGTGGCCCTAATCGATATTTCGAAGAGTTGGGCAAAGAACTGTCCTGTGGTCCAAATCGTGAGTGTTTGTTGGCTTAGTCCTCCTTATTTATCAAATGATTATTACTTTGTTTGGCAGTAGAATTGGCTTGTGGTCCTGTTGGTGTTTCTAATAATTACCTTATTCTTATGCAGAATTGGCATCAGACGCTTGGTGCCGTGTTTTTGTTAATCGCCGTGCTGATTAATTGCGGTACTTCTGTTAAGGTCGCCGGGCTCATTACTCACGGTGCTCCCGAGGCAATCGATTTTTTTGATTCAAAAGAGGTTAGTGATTTGTATTATATAAAAGTTGCTATAATTTGTCATTTTATGTTAGTGAATTGTTGATAAATATTTTATGTTATTGTTATAATTTGTTATTAATTAAATATTTAATTTATTGTTGAAGCAATTGTAAACAGCTAATGTAGTTTACGTATGTTTGTTAATATTAGTTAGTGAAGCACGGTACACGCTTAGTTGAATTAGTTTAGTGATTGAATTAGTTTAAGTAGATTAATTAGTTGTTTAAATTTGTTTAATAAATGTATTTAAAGTGATTGATTACATGAATGTAAATCTATAATAAATGCAGTACATAAAATTGATGTCATTAGCATAGCTTAATATCGAAATTAGTATTATTGGTTCAATGCAATTCACTTTATTATGCAAGTTAGTTGATAATTAGTCCACGGTATTTAGTATATGATTAGTTTAATTAGTTTTGTGATTTAATTAGATTAATTAGTTGCTTTTTAATTAGTTGAATGAATTAAATTTAATAGGTTCGATTAGATGAATTTAGATGTATTTGTCGAGTCATGTATTGAGTTTTGATTATGATAGCTATTTAGTGGGGATAATTTAAGTATTTGAAATAATTGCTACATTTAATACATTAAATGCATAAACATAATGTAATTAGGTTAGCTTTATTTCAAAATTAGGGGTATTAGTTTAATGCAATTCACTTTGTTGTGCAAGTTAGTTGATAATTAGCTTGTGTTATTTAGTATCTGATTAGATTAAGTAGTTTTGTGGTTTAATTAGTTAAATTAGGACCTCTCACTCTTTTGTAATTAATTAATTTTAAGAGGTCGATTAAATGAACTTAGATTTATTTGTCGAGGCATGTATTGAGTTTTGATTATGATAGCTATTTAGTGGGGATAATTCAAGTATTTGGAAAAACTGCTACATTTAATACATTAAATGCATAAACATAATGTAATTAGCATAAAATCATTTTAAAATAGGGTTTTTAATATTAGTAAGATATTTGATTAGAATTTCATATTTAATTGACCCAATATGAAATGTAGGTGCATGATAGACTTAGCATAAGGTAAAATTTTTATAACTAAATGTAGTAATTAAGGTGGTTAATTAGGTTTACTTTGTTATTTATTAAATGATAGTTTTATTTGTTATAAATGGTTGAATTATTTAATTAGAATGCATTTTTTGTTGTTATTTGTTATATTTTTGGTTATTATTTGTTACAATTATGGACTCATAATTATTTATTTATTTGTTATAAATTATACATATTTGATTCGATCAATTAATTGATTATTCAAATAAGCTTATCAATGCGATTTTACAATGTTATCAACACTCGTCCGTAATAGGTATAACATGTCAAGTGATAATTGCCTGGTGATACAATTATATTGGGGAGGAAAAATTATATAAAAAAATGGGTCAATTTCATATGATCCTCCTATACCGAAAAATGCGTTGTTCTTGACAGAAGTGGTGGGTTATGATGAATTGGTAGACAGAATATACACTAGTATGGGTTTAGATCGGAACAGCTATAAGATTAGTTTGATATATCGGAGTTGTCTCCAAAATAGCAAGTTTGGTGCAATGCCTTTGGTAAATGACAATGGAGTTGCTGGTCTGTACTACTTACAATCTGGTAGTAGACTTGCAACCGAAATATATGTGGAAGTCGAGAAGCTATTGGGTTTAGAAAAACATGGTGCCGATGGTTTACAAATTATAAGTGGTAATCTTGAGCGAGGCGGTAGCAGTTCCGAACATATATCTTTATTCCAGCCAGTCGGCCATTTTGAGAGTCAAATGACCCAACTAGCTGGAACAGATGTCGAACAAAGGCATAGAGGGCGAAGAAGGGGTACTGGTCGGCAGACAAATAATGATCCTCCATGTACAGGTGCTCGACCGATAATTCACACCTCAACCATTCATTCTCGAGGTGCGGATATTGAATCGGCACCAATGTTTGATGTACAGCCATCTACTGACGATCAGTTTGTAGATGTTGACATGGACTCCGAACCGGAGCCCAATCTTAGTGGTTCCGATGATGAGAACCACGAACATGGTACTGACAGGCAAGCAGGGCATCTAGAGGGCGCATCTATGGCCCATGATGACATGGATCATGGTGCCCCCTGGATAAATAGTGATGGTCCACAACTGCGTTATGAAGCTGGTGTTGACGCTGCATTGAATTTTGACCCCCTTGATGCTGGGCGAGTGGAGAAGCTAAGAATGTGGAACAAACACACCAGAGATTTAGAATTGAGCCATCTTTTTTAATCAAAGGAGCATGTCCAACGAGCTGTGAAGTTGTGGTCCATCAAGGAGAACAGGGAGTTCAGAGTTCGTGAGAGCACGCCAACGACTTGGTATGTTCGTTGTCGGGCTCGTAACTCCGTCCCCCCTTGTAATTGGCAGTTTCGTGCAATCTTACGGAGCTCGCACAACATGTGGATGATTGTCACACTTGCTGACGCACATACTTGCGTCCGTGTTTGCTATAGTAACGATCACCGTGGATTGAGTAGTGACATAATTGCCGAGCACATTATCCCCCATATTATGAATAGTTCGGTGTACAAAATCAAGGAAATTCAGGTATCGGTGAAACAAGAGTTTCATTGTGATGTGTCATATAAGAAGGCTTGGTACGCTAGACGCCGTGCCATTGATATATTATATGGGAACTGGCCGACATCCATATCACAACTGCCGACATATATTGAGGAGTTACAACGGTCGAATCCAGGGACGGTAGTTGTGTGGGATCATCATCCATTAAGTACCCCCTCTGCAATAATTTTTGATTATATATTTTGGGCATTTGCTCCAGCCATCCAAGCTTTCCGCTATCTAAAACCGGTGATATGCGTGGATGGTACCTTTTTAAAAGGGCCTTATCGGGGAAAACTTCTTGTCGCCATAGGGTTTGATGCTGAAAATTCAATGTTTCCCTTGGCATATGCCCTAGTTGATGAGGAGAATAATCGGAGTTGGTCTTGGTTCATGAGACTGTTACGCATTCACGTGTGTGGTGATGTGCAAAATATATGCATTATTTCTGATCGTCACCACGGCATTATAAACGCAATGCGTACACTTGAAGAGTGGCAGGAGCCATTAGGGGTGCACCGATTCTGTTTGATTCATATTCGGAGCAATTTCACACAAAAATTCAAGAATGAGGGGTAAATTGTCTCCGAACCCTTAAATGTTTTTTCACCGCACCCTAACATATTAAACATATATTAAACTTATTCTGACGATATTTTATGCTGTCTGGTAGACTTAAAAGCCTGATATACGCTGCTGGTGTGGCAAATCAGCCGCGCAAGTATGAGGACATCATGAATTTGATTTACTCCTTGAATACGGAGGCGTACACATGACTAACGGGTGGATTAGTTCGACCCGAGCAATGGGCTCTGTGCAAAGATGGGGGATATCGTTGGGGGCACATATCCACAAATATGGTTGAATGTTTCAATAATTTATTGAGAGACGCTCGGTTGCTTCCAATTACTGCATGTATACGGTTCACATTCAACCAAACAGTTGACCTGTTTGTCAAAAATCACAAGGTGGCATGGAATCTAGTATACGCGCTCCCAAAAAAATGTTGGAAGCAATATGTAAAAAATGAAAAAAAAGGGAGGGCACATGCAGTTCAAGTGTTCGATCACTAGAGAGGCATTTACTGTATCACAACTGCTTATCGACAAAGCCGACAAGGAGGTAATGCCCAGACTGTCGACATTGGAAGTCACACATGTACATGTGGAAAATGGAGAGAACTATGCTTCCCATATTCACATGCTATGGCAGCGTGTTATAGGTGTGGTATTAGTCCAATGACGTTTGTCGCTCATGAACATACGTTTCCCGCTTATCAGGCTACATTCAGTGGTTCTTTTCAGCCGCTATGGGATCCAAAATATTGGACCTTGGCGGAATTAAAGCTGAATGTCAATGGAGATCGGTTGAAACAAAAGATGCCCGGACCATTGAGAACTGCTAGGATCAGAAATCAAATGGATAGAAGATGTCCTGATGCACCACGTCGATGCAGTAACTGCTTACAGTCGGGTCACACTGCCCCTAATTGTCCATATACTGGTTATTTTCATAAATAACTTGAGCTGTCTCAGTTCCGGTAGAGGGTTACACTAATAAGTAACTGGTATTTGATATTTGATAGTATTAAATGCATAAACTTTTGATGTATTCCTATCCAACCTCGCGTGCGACGTGTCCCTACACAAGGTGGACCATCATCTAGTAGAAGTCGACGCCATAGGCATGGATTGCAGGACGAAGTCATTGAGGAGACGGGCATTCAAATGACCGAGGGGGGCACTCAATCGCATTACAACCCGACTAGTAATCAATTCACCACATCTGTGCCTTTGCCGATGCCAGACATCCACGATGTGTCACCTGGACAGAATATATCGGCCTTTACCCCTCAGGTGACATCGTTCCCGCACTCACAGCATATTGCTCTAGAGGCCACGCCTTTGCCACAGTTTCCACCTTTTGGTGTATATTCCAGGCCCTCTCCATATTTGTCTGTATTTGGGGGACATTTTCCATCCTCGTCAAACGAGCCTCCATTTGGATACGTTGCCACTGCAGCGGCCTCATCTTTTACTGCTAAGCTACATCCAATATTCAATTTTCTGAACGAAACGGGTGGTGTCCCTTCCATTTCAGACCTTCCCGATTATTACAGTATTGGACAGACTATGACCGTACCTGCGTCGATCCAGCCGATATCTACTACTACATACGGTCAGACGGGGGATTTTGTCACGTATCGTTCTCAACACGATGGTGATAGCAGTACGACAGTTGAGTCGGATGAGGAGGATGACGTAGGACCCTATGCTCATCGTGATCGTTGCAGACGAAAGCCTAAAAGATTTTGTTGTCCGTCTACAACACCAGGTGATAAAGGCAAGGGCAAAAGGCGTACCAACCGTTGATATGATCATTTCAATTGCATGTTTTACAATTTCAAATATTTGAATATGAGGATTTAGCGTTAATTTAATCTTTTATTATTATAATGCTTATCGCTATTTTTAAATTCACGATTGTACAATGTCATGTTATGCATTTTTTCTTCTTATGTTGATTTTTTATTGCATAATCTCAAATAATTATAAAATCTTTATTTCAAGTGAAACTTAATAGACAACTACTTGAAATGCCCAAAAAAATAACTGCTTACATATTATTCAATCGACTTAACGCTATATAGTTACTTATATTATAATAGAATATTTAATTAACTATTTAAATTTACCAAATATAAGTATTGAACATTAGATAATGAATAAATTTTTAAGAGGACTTTTATTGTAATTTTCAAATATATACTATTTTTCATATATACATAATCAGCTTTTTTCCATTGCCCAATATACTTCTCTGTGCGTCTCCACATTTGCATTGCTCCTGCTTATTGTGCGCAGAAAAGTGAACTTTCCACCATACAAATGTAACCTATGTTTAATTCTTCTCTCCGCTTTAATTCCGTGGATGTTTTTAGGGTTTTTGGGTTTAGGTTTTAGAAATGCATTCTTCTTTAGGGTTTAGGGTTTAGGGTTCCTTCTTTAAGGTTACATTATTTTGTACTTCTACGCTGTGTATAGTCTAGGGTTTAGGGTTCAGGTTTAGGGTTTAGGGTTCAGGGTTTAGAGTTTACGGTTTAGGGTTTAGGCTTTTAGGGTTTAGGGTTTAGGGTTTAGGGTTTTAGGGTTTAGGTTTCAGAAATGCATTCTTCTTTAGGGTTTGGGGTTTGGGGTTTAGGTTTCAAAAAATATTTATTTGTTAAAATTTATCATTTGTTTGTCATTTGTTTTATCATTTAATTTGTTTTAACAAATGATGAAACGTGCATCATATATAAAAGAAAATTTAGTGAAATAGAAAATTTTAGTTTACGTATATAGTAACTTTAGTTGTAAATAGTATTAGGTATTATAATCGGTTATAATCAGGTATTATGATTAAAATAACAAATAAAGGTGATTACCAATATAAAGAACTCACATTAATTTTTAAAAAACTTCTTGCCATTTCTTCTTGTCTTTCTTGCATATTAAATCAAATATTTGAATCATACAATTTGTTCATCTTACATTTATTTTTTCATCTCACATTTATCTTTATCTTACAGTGATTTTTTTATTGCATAATTTGAAATAATTATAAAATCTTTATTTCAATTAAAACTTAATAGACAACTACTTCAAATGCCAAAAAAAATAACTGCTTACATATTATTCAATCGACTTAACGATATATAGTTACTTATAATATAATAGAATATTTAATTAATTATTTTAATTTACCAAATATAAGTGTTGAACATTAAATAATGAATAAATTTTTAAACATCCTTTTATTATAATTTTAATATACATAATATTTTTCATCCATGCATAATTTGATTTTTTGAGTGTCCAATATACTTCTTTATGCATCTCCACATCTGTTTTACTTCTGCTTATTGTGCGCAGGAAAGTGAACTTTCCACCATAAAAATGTATCCAATGTTTAATTTTTACCTCCACTTTAATTCCGTGGATTGAAGAATATTGTCAGAAATGCATTCTTCTGCCGCATTTTTTTTTAAAACAAGCCGGCAGCCAGCTTTTCACACAGGTAGAAGCCAAACGCATGGCTAATCTAACCACTTCTTCTTCATAAAGCGCTATAGCTTTGAAGGTCGTTTCATAGCTTGCCAAATGTCCTAGTACTCTAACAGCTACCCTTTGCTCTAACCTGGGTCATCTTTCCTCTAACAAGCTCCAATAATGGTGGTATAATTAAAGCTCCAACAGCTTTGACAGCATACTCGACATTGTTTATCGTGTAGGAACCAATAATATGGCTCATCTACTCGGCATTCATCTTATAAACAGTATGTGGCCGAATTTTTTTTTTTTTTAACAATTTGACTGGCTGTCGGGCACAGCTTTTGCAGTCTTTGTCAGGTGAGCTACTTTGTCTGAATTGCATTGAAGCCCTTCGAATTTTTTTTTTTACAATTTGACTGGCTACCGGGCAGAGAGTGCCCGGCAGCCAACTTTTCAGACTTTGTCAGGTGCCGGGCTGCATGTGTTTTTTATAAAAAAAAAAAATTTTTGGTGTCAGGTGCCGGGCTGTGTATATATTTATACCGGACTCCTGTCAGAACCACAAGTGTCCCATTTTTTATTTTTTGAGCAATAATCGAAGGAATTAGCCCCTTACCATGCATAACTTGGTTTTATCTATGTGTCGATATGATGATAATTTTGTTCTAACATTTTAGTGAAGCAGGGAAATGCAGTTAATACATTCAGCTCGAATGGGACAAAATTCCCACCGGTATATGGAAAGACTGCTTCAATGATATTTTCCGCACTATTTTAGTCATTGGAATCCCCAGTCCCCGCCACCTTTCCCTGATTCACTACTCCAAACAGCCGCCATTACTTTCCCCTAGTTTTTACAATCCATCAACTTAACGAAATAATGGGGCGCATGTATTTGTTAGAAACAACAGGAGAGATGGGTAAGGTCTATCTTACAAGACGAAAATCCTATTTTTTTTAAAAAATATTATTAAACTGTAGTGGGGCAAATACACGCATGACACGTGTCAGCTCGGCAGGCCGCACGCTTCAGGTCAGCAATATAGGCCTTGTGTGTTGCTCGCTGCAGATCGGCATAAGCGGGCCAGCTCGGCCGTAACAGCCGCCTCTCCCTATAGTAGGTCTCGTGGGCCGCCGCCTCTGAACTATTAGGGGCCGTCATGCCAAACCCTAATAAGACTTCGAACCCTAAGGGACTTTGACTCCAATAAGGAAACTACTACCCGGTCAAGCCTATAAATATAGCACTAAAGGACTACACAAGGTACGTGAAAAACAGCACTCGTGCTCATTACTCTGCTCAGAAAACTTTACTAATTTAATCATCGGAGTTATCCCGGGGACTTTAGTCCCGCTGTTCCACTTCCTTCGCAGGGTTCATAGCTCATTCATCAGACATCGTTCCCAACTATCCCCGATCAGCTCTGCTCGGACCAGATTTTTGACAGTCGCATCAATTGGCGCCGTCTGTGGGAACACGTATTTCTTCTTTGCGAATCATGCCAAGGACTAGGTCTCAAAGAAACGTTGATGGATCTAAGGGGAACGGGGGAAGCAGTCCTCAAAACCCCACGCGGGGTCCGACTTCGGGAGACGAAGGCGCAGGGCTTTCCCGGATCCCTCCTGAGCAATTGGTTCAGGCGGTGGCAGGGAACCTGCCGACTTTCGAAGCAATCGTGAATTACCTTAAGGGGCAGGCATTAGGTCATCCTGGCCAGGGGCCAAAGAATCCAGGTGAAGGG